AACCCGACCACAAGCACCCAGCCTGGGAGACAAATGAAAGGAAGTGGGAGACAAGCCAGCCGGGAACCCGACCACAAGCACCCAGCCTGGGAGACAAATGAAAAGAACTGGGAGACAAATGAAAGGAAGTGGGAGACAAGCCGGCCGGGAACCCGACCAGACCATCCAGCACCAAGGCGACCATTCTTTAAAGCATTGAGAACCCCTAACAGTAAACTGTTTGGGGAAAAAGAACACATCGTTTCCACAAAAAACTTCTGGTCATGTTCGTAATTCTTTCGAGAACACCACAAAACTCACACCCACCGACCCTCACGGTGCCCGAGCGGCAGAGGTGTCCGACCTTCTCGCCGCTGGTGCGGTCGTTTGGCGTCTGCCGCCCGCTCTTCCTAGTGAGGCGCGACCAGGGGTCCGGCAGGAGGAGGGATGGGTTGGATGAAGGGAGGGAAGGAGTCCGAAGTCGCTTGGTCCAAAGCTTTGTTGAAAAAAGACATGAAGCTCTTGAGTAGGTTGGAGCTACTGAAGGAACCCAAAAAAGCTCCTGAAGACCTTGACCAAGCTCAAAAGCGGTTTTGGAGTAGGTTGGATGTAAGGCTCTATTTAGACATGGGTCATGACGTTGCTTTCAAACCAAGCTTGAAGCTCCCTAAACGAACTTCGAAGGACTTGTCGTCTGTGTTTCTCTGAGACTCTCTGCTCGACTCAATTCGAACGGAATTGCGACGAATCACTTCATCAACTGCAGGCACGGTACAAGGCATCCAGCAAGAAGGGCTCCAAGAGCATGCGGACTGTCTCATAGTCCTGGCACGGCTCTGGCACGGTCGCAAAACAGCCAGATCAGGTCCCATAGGTCTCCGGCAGCTCATCCCAACGGCAGAGCCTTTTCCCACAGGCACGGAGAATCGCAACCGCGGCAGAAAGCGCCTCCCGCGCGCGCCCGCGCCTGAAGTTCCTCAGGGCCCAGCTCCGAGAGCACAGAGGCCAAGTACTCCTGGCTGCTGGGCGGCAGAAACCTCGGCGCGGAAAGCTTCCTTCCGCCGTTGGCGCAGGTTTTCGGTGGAAGAGCGGAAGAGTGGACGATGCGCACTGCGGCTGGCGCGTTCTTGGGGGGGTTCGAGATTGGAGTCCACAGGGGATGAAGAGGATTCCATTCTCAGGGATGCTATCAGCAATGGTGAGGTGATGTCACCCATCTGTAGAAAATCACAAACAAAGAAGGGCAAAAGTCCATGAAGGTCCGTGGAGCTCATGATCTTTACAAGTCGGACCAACTAAGACTATCAATGTCATATACAGTATCATGTCAGGACGGTCTGATTTGTAAAGATCATGGACCCAACTCGGAAAAGACGTTCTCCGAGTTTAGGTCATAATATGATCGTCTGATAGAATAGAGTTGCTCCATGATCTATCGAAAATCAGACCGACTGCCTCTGAGGCTGCCAACCGCAAGGCTTGCATGGATCGCATGGCCACGGCTCAAGCTGCTGAGCTGCTGAGCTCTGCCGGTGGCCCCGCCCGGTGAACCGTCGAAAACTGACCTGAAAGACCTGGAAGCATCCTTTACATCGCTGCATGTCACCCAGCAGTCCGACGGAAGTCTAAATCAGCTAGCAGTCAGGACTCATTTGGGAGTCGAAATCAGGGGACTCAAGTTGACTACAGAACATGAACAGAAGAGACTAGCAGGGAGGTCAACCTTTTGGTGGAGGAGGTTTTGACCCACTGACGTATCAGTACTCTCTAGTCTCGGATAGTCTGTTCATGCTGCTTCTGCATGTTGTTGAGCCGAAAAAGGGCACCAATCGGGTAGATCCCACTTTCCGGTGCTCTTGTGGATCTCATCAATTTCATCATCTACTGTGAAGTTATTGTCAATGTCATGTGTCTTCGTGCACACCCTGACATTCTCTCATACGCCAGTCTCCGTCCACTTGCCGCCCCTGTGAAGACAGCACGGGTTGCACACACGAAAAATTGCCTCTCCTAAAGCTCCAAGCTAAGGGGTGGAGCGAAGTGAACCAAGCAGAACGATTGAACACTGATTTTTGGAACCTTCTCTAAGTTGTAATAATATATGATTCTATGATTAATTTATCGTCATAGTGCTGGTGTAACAAAAATACCTCGATCTCCTGTTTCATGCAAGTCCCCAAGTGGAGACCTAGGAACCCTAATGAAGCCACGTTGTGTCTTTCATTAATCTCTCGTTGATTCTGGTGCCCCTTTCCAATTGCTTTTCCCATTTGCGATAGCGAAAAGAACTATATAGTCTGTGGCCGCAACTGGTGCCCCCTTCAAACAACAAATAGACCTCTTTGCTGAACCAACTCCTCCTCATGAGGTAGTGTCCTCATCTCTCTCGCTTCTGAAGCTCTCCACCATGACGTTTAAGTGTACATTCCGAACGCTCGTCCGTCTTCCTCAAACATGATGCCCGTCCCATCACAAGAGAAGCCCCTCTTTGTCCGCGCACAGCGAAACTAAACTCGGTTGCGCTCTGTTGCGTTCGTCCAGCGCATCATTCTTGGCGTTCGTCAGCGGGTCACAAGGGGTCACAAGGTAGCTTCTGTCATTCAGCGCAAGCAAGCCGTTGCCCAAAGAAAATCTAAAGGCCCACTGCTTGCTCATCTTAAGGCCTATAAACCGACTGATGAGGACCATTGACTCACCACCTACGAACACCTGCATGGGGGCAATAGAATGCATCGAATTCCTCATATCTTCTTGCAGCCATAAAAACCATGTTAGAAAAAAGTGCGGTACCTTGATGTCTGGTCTCTTGACGTGACGATTCACTGACCATCCTTCGGGCGAAGACGAACGACCGGGGAGGGTGTGACCAACGAAGACAAGGGCATCATCGGCAGAGTTCTTGGGAAAAGGTGACTCCATGTCTGAACTGACGGTCGATGAGCTTGGATGAATTCTGGATTTTCACCTTACCATCCTGAGAGTGCAAAAGAAACAAAATGTAGTAAAATAAGAACATTCTTTATGTGAGTGTTACATCTATATGTATATATAGAGATATATCTATAGGATTTTATAGGTATTCTTCCAATCAAGAGAGTGTCACTCCCTTTTGACCCGCTGGCAGTTGAGGGATTCTCGCGCGCCACGAAACATCGTCGCGCGCCGTGGGTCGACTGTGGGGCAGTCGAAGGCCTGGAGAGGCTGGTGCCGATGTGGATGAGGCGACGGGCCAATAACGGGCTGTTCCGAACCAGGTTTGTAAGAGGCCGGACATTGTATGCATCTACAGTCTGTATATGTCTATGTTGCGTATATTCGCTCCCCTAATTAAATGAAAGAGGAACTGGTTTTCTGCGCGATTGCGGACTTGCTGTTTCATAGAAAAAGATTGGGCGCGGCAGGTCTTTGCCTTTTCCAAGGTCTTTGCAGTGGATGGAGTATCCCTTGCCAAAGACTTCGTCAACGGTTCTGTACCTGACCGCTGGGTCCTCCGGAAGACACCAGACCGTCCGAAAAATCCGCGGACCCCGCGGATACCGTTGTTTCCGGTCTGGTGTCGTTTCGGCTGCCACCCATCAGACTGGCGCACTTCTACTCTCCTTGAAATCATCATGAAAGTGGAGTTAAGACATGTTAAAATCACCTCTCTGGTATTCGGTTTTCATGGTCATCCTTTCGTCATCGGGTCATCCCATCCTCCTTGGCCCATGATGATGTCAAGGAGTGCATCGACCCGCCGTCACAGTCGTGTGTGCGAAGGTTCAGGTTCGGGACAAAATCCCAAAGCCAAAAAGCAACAGGGCAACCCACCGTTGGATTTCAGAGTGTCTTTCAGGTGTGCTAGCTCAAGAATTCCTGCACCTACGCAAAGAAAGGATCGGACATGGAGGAGAACCAAGTCTCTTGTTTGTGTGATGTAGAAATCCACTTCCAGGTCTGTTTCGACCCAGTTCACAAGAAAAACACCAAGGAACCCCTCTCGGACCTTTTGTGGGGAAAAAGGGTCCACCTCCGACCCTTCGAGGCCTCGATCGAGGCACCGCCTCCCGTGGCGTGCGGAACCCCTCTCCTCGTCACCGCCTGCTCCGCTTCCAGGAGGACTCCTCGGCTCCGCGGCGACGAACCCGGAGGAGCGGAGCGGAGCGGAGGTCCGGGTGTTCTTCGGATGTCCGGGGTGTGTGAGGGAGGATACTGCAAGGGCAGCAATACGCCATGGGCAGGGCATGTGGGGATCTTGCATGCGCAGCCAAGACCCCTTTTTCTTTTATGGGGAAGGACTGTGAGGTGCATTCGGAGTTGCGCAACGTTGTGTGTGGGGTGTGAAGGAGGATGTCTTTTTTGGGGGGAATGTATTGTGTGTGTGTGTTTCTTATTGTTGGTGAGGGATGGTGTGTTTGATGGTTTCTTGAGGGGGATGAGGGGGCATTCTCCTCAGTTGTGATGAAGAATCTTCAATCATATGTGTTTCTCCCCTTCCTTGGTATGGGATTCAGACTCTACCCGAAGCCTGACTCCTGCAGATCAGGCAAGCAATGGACTCTGCTAAACATATACTGCACTACACCGTGGTGCAGATCAGTCGAAGCGGTGTTTCCAGTATTGGGTCCAATGGCCTGAACATGAGCCTCTTTGACCATCCGCCACTCCCCTCCACCTTGAAAAAAACCTGCTTGGATCATCCTCACCCCACCATTCCCCCCCAGCCAGCCAGGTGGAGCCATCAGCACAGTCCGGAACCATCTCCTCGAGCCAACGACACCCCATCCATGAAGAATTTGTTAGAGTCCCTAAGGGTCCAGGAACATCCGATTCGGATGTCCTTTGGCCCCAAAGACCATTCTCAGGAAGTACGAACTCACCTCCGTTCGACCATCCTCTGCAGGTATACCTGGATCTTATGCAAGCATCTTAAATTGACAGTCTCCATTAGCCATGGGAAAAACACCTTCCAAACCCCTTCTTTTGGACCCCACCCCACAAGTGTCAGCCATCCCTCAAACCACCACCACCATCCCGTGCACCACCATCATGCCCGCCCCCCATCCCCACTTCCAACTCCAAGGCACCCACCAACTCTGATCCTTCCAGCTCCAGTCACCCCAATCGTCGCCGGTCGCTTCCGCACGGACCCGCGGGGCCTCCGCCGGCTCCGCCGCACGGGCACCGCCCGTCTGGCCGGACTCGGACGTGGCGGCGCCGTTCGTTGGAGCCGGGTCAGGCGACTCGTCTTTGTACCTCGGACTATGAGTCAGGGCATTCGGAAGATTCGGAGGGTCGCGGCTTTTGGAAGCCAACAACCGTTGTTTTACCCAGGGAGTTAAACTGAATTAGACTACAAAACCAGGTCAGACATGGCAATCGGTCTTTTATATAGGATGATGACTACAAGGTCGGGTACAACAAAAGAGTGTTCATTGTTTTCACTAAGAGGACCTTACTGTGTCAGCAGAAAACCACCAAACGTGGAAAATCTTCCTGACGCTCCTACTTCACGATCTTATCCACCCAAACTCTCTACAGCAAACACAGCAAAGAGAACCTGATGAGAAGCGCATGGGGACCTGAACCCGGTTCCCGGGCGTAGTGAAGTGAGACCGACCAGGGTCCAAACACGACCGGACGTGGACGGTTTTCTACCCAACCCGCTTAAACCCATCACCTCTGAAATCTGATCCTTTTTCGACGCCAAAACCCTCTCACCTGCTCCGAACCTTCTGTACCTGCTCTCCGCTCCGTAGGGTCGGGCGCCCACACCACACGTGGCATCCCCGCGCCAAGGCACCGTCTGTTCCGGCTGTCCCACGTGGGTTTCTTCCTTTTCCTCGGTGGGTCGGACTGCCGCCGCAGGGACTGCCACGAGGACGGCTGTGAGCCATCCGCGGCGCTTGGGTCCCCCGCCACCGTACCGCAGCAGTCCGGAACAAGGGCATCCCAAAGAGAGGTCTGTGACGATGGTGTGCCCAAAGCTGTAAAGGATGGGTTAAAGTCACATCTACAACTGGCCAGTTTCAGGTTATACGCAGCAGTCTTGAAGGGGGTTCTCCAGATGGTGACCAACCCGCAAGACATGTTTCTACAAACGGAGTGCATCTTAGAGATTGAGAATCCTTTTGTCGGAGACTGTGCAGTTTCTTTTGAGGTAAAGCTCATAGGCCGTAGGATGCCGTAGGATGCCGTAGGATGCCGTAGGTTGGTCGAAACTCTTAGCTTTCAGTGTGCTGCGCTCTGCTCCGCCTATTGTTTTGGCTTCGTGATGCTTGTTGCCGACAGGGATCTGATTCCGATCGTCAAAGGAATCGAACGCATCACCACACTGAGTGTCTGAGGTCGACCCTCCAACTACTTCACCCTTGACTTGGCCGAAGAACAAGAGTGACCCCACAAACCAGCAGAGGTTGAAGAACCCGAACTAGACTATCCTAGTTCGGTACCCCTGGTTACGGGTCCTAGTTCAGGTCACTTAACCTTTCTAAGAAGAAGTGTGTTATTCATGACGCGTCCTGCGTGGAACCTCGGTGTAGCGGTGTGATGTGGTCACCAATGGCCATGTGTTGCTTGGCTGCACGGAACCTTCGCTGAAAACAGTACTGTCAGACTTACACGGAAGGGTAGTTCCTAGCAGTGCAGCCCACTGGACAGATGGGCTACACACAGGATGATGCTCGTTTGCTGGTGCTCGTACATGCTGTTTTGTGGCTTGGACTGGGAAGATTATATGGAACATTCTGAGTTATATCAAGAATTCTGGGTGCAGCGTAAGGCAAAGAATCCAAGAACTCTTGACAGTAAACACTCTGCAGAACTCAACCATCGCCCCAATTTTGCAAAAGTCTACAGAGTGCACCGCCGGGTGTCACTCGAAAGAAGTTGCAGCCTGTTCATCTTATCTTCCAAGCAAAAAGCTGCACAAAACACCGAAAACGGTCACCAGGTCACCCCCGTGTGCTTCTTAAAAAGAACTCATCAAAACTCTCCGAGCCGCCCCTCTTTGCTTTTGCCTTTGCCTTTGCCTTCCGCCCGCGGCGGCTGCTTCGGCGGCGGCGGCCTCGGCGGCTGCTTCGGCGGCGGCCGCCGCGAGGGCGGTTCTGCAGGCTCCGGCGGCGGCGCGCGGTCGCCGTTGGTGCGGTCTCCGTTGGTGTCATCCGTTCGCTGCTCCTTGGGGAGCCTTGGCCCGTGCTCTGCCCAAGCTGTCAGCAAACCTGTTTTTGATGCGTGGATGAGCTGGGCACCCTGGCCTGACTTTGCCAAAAGCACAACTTGGAGTTGAATGCCTGGCTTATCCAAAGGTTGATCTGTCTCATAGCAAGACCCCACAAACCGATAAGATGTGTTCACCGCCGGAAAGGGGCGACGTGACCCGTCTTGTGATCCGTCTTCTCTCCAAGTCCACCACGACCCCGTCTGGAAAAAACATAACACACACACTTCGAACTTGGATTTTCAGTTAATGCAAGTATCACGTTGGGAAGGAAGGTGAGAGAACAGAAAGGTGCATGGGTCCGAGCACTTGAAAGGTTTAACATTGTTGTCAAGTCGGCGGTGCAGCTGCTGAAAGAAACCTGTTTGGGGGGTGGAGGCATGAAGAACCATGGAAACCAACAAACAGCGGCAGGGTGGACCATTGGAGTCAGTGTGTTGAAAGCAGGTACAGGAAGGTGATCAGCCTTCCCTTCCCATCCATGACCGCAGCTTCGTTGCACACGGTAGGTCATGGATGCCGTGTGCCCCTGCCTGTGTGAAAGTGGTGGGGTGAGACCCTTTGTCCAGGGTGTGACACACACAGGTCGCCGCAGTCGGCGCTTTTTTCAAAAACCGGTGGCAGGCGTGGTAGTTATGCCCCTTTTGGACATATAGGTTCACGAGTTCAGCCGCAGCAACGTCAGCGCTGGAGGGTGGAAATGTGTATTTTCGAATGGTGTGAAGTCGTGATTGGAGGCCTGATAGAGCCAAGCGCTGGCTCCCGGCGGTTGTGGAGTCCCGGATTTTCCAGGGTTGGGAAGGTTGCATGTAGGTGATGGTGCGTTGTGGGAGGTCGATGTTGAAACCGAGGAGATGAAAGTCCTCCACCGGTTCGAGTTCAACTGGGTCGCCAAAGAAATTGTGGTGGATGAGGGTTTGGATAGCCGGGTGTTGAAGGAAATGTTCGTTGTGGACAATGAAGCGGTTGTCGACATATCGATAGTAAGTAAAGTGGAGGTCTGTGTGTTGAAGGAGGTTGTTGTGGATCTGATGCCAGGAGTGCTCAATGAGGGTGATGGCAACATTGCATAGGGCTGGAGAGAGCTGGGATCCAATCCCGGCCCCTCGGATTTGTTTGTAAGTATTGTTGCAAGCCCGGAAAATGCATGTGTTGAGGGCAAAAGCCACGATGGTGGTAATGTCGGAAGTTTGGATAGTGCGTTGGGTAGGGTGTTTCCGATGGTGTCTGCCAATGTGTGAGTGGTGGAAAGGATTGCCGGTGGCCTGGACATCCACCGTCAAGGTGTGTGTGGGTTGCTGTTGTTGCCAGTGGTGGACGAGGGAGTGAACTGCATCGATGAGTCGGTGCTGTGGGACTGAGTTGAAGAAGCCGACCAGGTCATCGTTAGTGGCGTGTAGTGAGATGTCTGGTGGTGTTTGGGTAAGGTAGCTGTGAAAGTGGTGCCAAAGCTGGGGAATGGACATTTGGCCGGGATGTTGAGGGTAGAGGTGTTGGAGAATGATGTCCAGGGCACGGCTGGTGATGCGAAGCAAGTTGCCACTGAGTGATTGGAAGTATGAAATAATGGTGCGGCCTTTTTGCCAGTGCTTCTTCTCTTTTAGGTGGACAACGCCGTATGGAATGTTGAAGTCTTTTCGGAAGCCCCACTTGTAGCGAGTGCGCAAAATGGGGGGGACCGTGGCGGCCAGGTGGTCGTGGATATTGGCGGCAGTGATGTAGGGAAGTGGTTCGAAAAGTTCGGGAGATTGCCAGGTGTTCAAGGCGCCAGTGAAATATTGGCGAGGGCAAAACAGCCGGAGTTGTTGGAGCTCATGGTCGGCATGGTGGAGTAATGTGTGTTGTCCCAAATGTTCTTGGAGTTGACGAAGCAGGCGGGCCGTAAAACGGGGTTGCTGCTTGAGGTGTGTGTTGTGAAGGCGCCATTGGTGCTCAAGGAAAGGCGGTAGGTGTTGAGCTAGGGATGGTGGAAGCCCCTGTAGTTTGAGCCATTTGGTGTAGGCCGTCGTGAAGATGAGGAAATAACGAGCTTTGCTTGGGTAATAGGTGCTGTTCATATTGGCGTTGAGGAAAATGCGGAGGTGTGTAGGGAGTTGGAGTTGATCAAGTGTAAGGATGTAGTGGCCATTGATGGTAGGGGTGTCGGGATCTTGCAGGAGGGTGCGAAGGTGATCGCATGCACAGGGGAGGTCTGCTGGATCTGGCGGGGAGTGGAGGGTGTCCTCCCATGTGCGGTGGTTGTGCAGGTGGGAGCGGAGGGTTTTGTGGGCGGCTTCCCTCAGTCTGTGGGAGGGGAGGTGGAGGGGAATGGTGAAATGCTTGCGCTGCTGGATGGTGGTACGAAGCCATTGTTGGCAGTGCTTGGTGAAGTCGTCATGGGCCAAGAAGGGCACTGTCAGTGGGATGTTTGGCTTAGGTGGCGTGAGGTTGCGGTAGATCAAGGCTTTGTTGAGGATGTGAAGAGCTCGGCTGCGGCCAGGTTCCTCCAAATTTGCGGCCATACGCCGGATTGCATACACCTCGAGGTCCGTGTGGCGGCCGCTTCTTATTTGTTTTGCTGCCTCAAAGGAGGCTGCGGTGTGTTTGGTAAGGTTGCGAAGAAGTTGGAGGGCGTGATGCTTAGTGGAAGTGTAGAGGTGTGGTTCTCTGAGGGTGTACTGGCGTTGTCGAAGGCGTCGGAAAAGTCGTTTGTGGGTGGCTAGTCTGGAGTAGAAGTGGGCTCTGTGTTTTGCAAACTGCCATCCCTGAGCTTTGAGTTTGAGGTGGTGGGAAATGAAAGGCCAGTTGAGTGAAGGCATCCAGTTGGCGATGTAGTGGTGCTCTTGGATCCAGGCTTGGTCGTATGTGTCATGGGAGGTGAGTTGAATAGTGGTGTAGTGGTGGATGTTGTTGTGTGAATGCCAATAACGTAGGGAGAGTTCTGCAGAGATGGGAATGTTGTTCTGGAGTTGTTTAAGTTTGGCGCGGCGATTGTGCTCGCGGTGGGGGATGCCGATAGCTGTTGAGCCAACATAGAAGTGGCCATGTTGATGGTAGCAGCGTTGGGGTTGGTCAGGATTGAAGTGGAGCTTGATGTAGACGGAATTGGAAGAGAGGAAGTTGTGGTAGTGGTAGGTGTGGGGTAAAATGTGGAGCTGGCGGAGGCGGTTGCGCCATTGTTGTGAGCGACGGGTGTTGGACGGGTATGCAAAAAGAAGTGTGATGTGGATGAGACCAGTTACAAAGATGGCCTCGGCGCGGTCGATGTATTGGGTGCGGTGGATGAGCATGGAAAGTGCGCGGTGTAGGTGGAAAAGTTGGGTGAGGTTGGTGTGGCTGGGTTGCTGCTGGGCCACGATGGCGAGTCAGCAACCAATGGCTGCTCCGACTCCCACCAGCTGTTGGAGGCTGCGGATGGGGAGTCGGTTGACTCGGTTAAGGGGTAGGCCATACTTGGTGGCTGCTTCTTTTAGCTGCTGCGTGGTGACTTTGCTTGTTTGCAGCAGTCGAATGACTTCTTTCGCAGCTTCTTGGATGACGGGGTCGAAAGTAGTGACCCATTGTTGGATATCTGGGTAGTTCCAGCCTTCGGGGATGTCGTCTTGCAGGGTGGGGTGCGGTGGTTGCAAGACGTCGGTGATGGCTGGTGGTTTCGGTGGTGGTGGTGTGGGTGCGTGGGAAGGGGCGGCTGGTGCAGAAGATCGGCCGGTGTGCTTGACTGGTGTGAGCGGGTTGCCGAGGTCGTGGAGTTTCTGGCGTGCCCGAGCCAGTTCGTCGTTGGTGTTTTTGAGGGCGCGTAGGGCGGAGCCTTCCGCAGGTGCTGGGGAGTGGGTTTTCAGTTGGTCGATAAGCAGTTTGATGAGGGGAGCGTGGAACGCTCGGGCATGGGTAGTTTTGTTTGGAACGTCTGTGCTCTGTTGTGTGTGGAGAGCCTCCGCTATGCCGTCAAGGTCAAGGCGGTGCTCGCGGAGTTGTTGGAGAAAAAGGGTCACGAAGACCGACTCCGCTATGCTTCTGGTTGCAATGAAACCTGTGAATTTGCCGTTGCTCAGGGTACGGGCAGTGAACTCGGAGGTACCGTGGTAAGCCAATTGCCACGGGAAGACCTCGAAGGTGGGGAGGCCGGCCACTCCTGCTTTGCGAGACCACTGTGTGGGTTGAATCGTACGATGTAGTTGGTGGCCGTGCAGTGTGTTGGAGTCCCAATGTTGTTCGGTTGGGTTCCAGGAGTCCGGAATAGGTGGTGTGGGAGATGGGATGTGTGGGGGTGGTGGGGCAGGCGCTGTGGTGCCACGTGTGGTGGGTGGTGGCGGTGGGCTGTGTTGGAAGGTCGATGGTGGTGGAGTGACAGGTTCGGCCGTGGGCAGGGGTGGCGGCGGCGGAGGTGGAAACTCCGGCTGGGAGGTGGGTGCCTGGGGTGGGGGTGTATGCTGCGTTGGCGGTGTGTACGGTGGAGTCACATAAGGGTTGGAGTGGTGGACGTGGTGTGTGCGAAGTGCGTGAGTGAGTGGGCCGTAGGTGCCTGTGGGGCTGTAGGTGTGGTGTGCGGCGGTGGGAGGAGAAGTTGTGGTATCTGGGTTGGTGAGCTGCTGATGATGTTGCTGCATCAAATAATGATTCCAGTAATATTGCTGCCACTGCGCTTCCATGGTGGCTGGGCGAAGTATCACTGGATCGTGGGCGTGGGGCACCGGTTGCTGATTTGAGCAAGCTGAGAAAGGAAAGCAAGTGCAGGACAGTCAATTGGGGGAGCAATGGTGGCGTTAAAACAGTCAGGGTGTCGGCAAACGGTTCTGAAGAAAAACTCAAAAGAACGCTGAGAACATAGGAAAACCGGAGTAACCCCAAGAAGGCGCCTGGGTGGATCCGAACAACATATTGAATGTCAGGCTGTCCAACGAAACGCGCTATTTTTCGTTGTGCAAGGTGAAACTGAAAGTGGTTGTCTGCGCAGCAAGCTGGGCGACCGTCCGAAGATGATGGTGGGC